GGAGAGAGAGAGAGAGAGAGAGAGAGAGAGAGAGATAGATTCTCTTCTTCTTTTAAAGCCCTCAGAACCAGGCCTCTATACACCTCTAACTACCATTTTAAAATCCATTCACTACTGCATGGTCCTACAATCTAGTCACCTCTTCAAGGTTCTACCTTTTAATTACCATAACAGGATTTCCCACCCTCTTAACAGTGGGGGCTAAGTTTCTAATACATAAAACTTGGGGGACATAATTCAAGCTTCAATGAGTTTTGGGAGAACATAATTCAATCCACTACAGAAGCTAAACATTTAACTGGGGTCTTAGAGCAGTAATGTCAAAGCTTTGGACAAATTTTTGCATAATTAAGGGAGTAGATATTAAAAGATGTATGATTCAGTAATGAGCCGAATCTTATCCAGATTCTTAGGGAGCACAATTTGGTGGTGGTGGTGGTAGTGTCTGACAATATAAAGAACTAACACTGATATACATAAAAATAGTTAATACTTATATTAGGCAGTGTTCTTTTTTTTTTTTTTTTTAAATTTTTATTTTGTCAATATACAATGTATATGATTATTATGGCCCATCACCGACACCTCCCGCCCTCCTCCCTCTCTCCCCTCCCCCCCAAGAATGTCCTTTCCGTTTGCTTGTTGTAACAACTTCAAAAAAGTATAGTTGTTATATCTTCTTCCCCACCCCCCCCGGTATTTTTTTGTGTGTGTTTGTATGTGGGTGAATTAATTTGTTTATTTTTAGCTCCCACCAATGAGTGAGAACATGTGGAATTTCTTTTTCTCTGCCTGACTCGTTTCACTCAATATTATTCTCTCAAGGTCCATCCATGTTGTTGCAAATGGCAGTATTTCATTCGTTTTTATAGCTGAGTAATATTCCATTGTGTATATATACCACATTTTCCGTATCCACTCATCCAATGATGGACATTTGGGTTGATTCCAGCTCTTGGCTATTGTGAAGAGTGCTGCAATGAACATTGGGAAACAGGTGTACCTTCGACTTGATGATTTCCATTCCTTTGGATATATTCCCAGGAGTGGGATAGCTGGGTCGTATGGTAGGTCTATCTTCAGCTGTTTGAGGAACCTCCAAACCATTTTCCATAGGGGTTGCACCATTGTGCATTCCCACCAACAGTGTAAGAGAGTTCCTTTTTCTCCGCAGCCACGCCAGCATTTATCTTTCGGTGTCTTTTGGATTTTTGCCATCCTAACTGGGGTGAGATGGTATCTCAGTGTGGTTTTGATTTGCATTTCCTGGATGCTGAGTGATGTTGAGCATTTTTTCATATGACTGTTGGCCATTTGCATATCTTCTTTAGAGAAATGCTTACTTAGTTCTTTTGCCCATTTTTTGATTGGGTTGCTTGTTTTTTTCTTGTAAAGTTGTTTGAGTTCTTTATATATTCTGGATATTAGTCCTTTGTTGGATGTGTATTTTGCAAATATTTTCTCCCACTCTGTTGGTTGTCTTTTAGCTCTGTTAATTGTTTCTTTTGCTGTGCAGAGGCTTTTTAGTTTGATATAGTCCCATTTGTTTATTTTTCCTTTGGTTGCCTGTGCTTTTGGGGTCATATTCATGAAGTCTGTGCCCAGCCCTATTTGCTGAAGGGTTTCTCCTATGTTTTCTTTAATAAGTTTTATTGTTTCGGGGTGTATATTTAAATCCTTGATCCATTTTGAGTTGATTTTAGTACATGGTGAGAGGTATGGGTCTAGTTTCAATCTCCTGCAAATGGATATCCAGTTATCCCAGCACCCTTTGCTGAAGAGGGAGTCCCGACCCCAGTGAATAGACTTGATGCCTTTGTCGAAGATCAAATGGCAGTAAGTGCGTGGGTTGATTTCAGGGTATTCTATTCTATTAGGCAGTGTTCTAAATGCTTTCATTTGTTAACATTTTTAAAAAAGATCTTCCTAATTTTACTGCTGAAGAAACTGCAGCACTGAGGGGTTGAGTCTCTTCAAGGTCCTATAGCTAGTAGATGGCAGAGTAGAATTTGAACTTGGACAGTCACTTCAGAGTGCATTCTTTTGACAACTTCAGGATGACCAAGTTGTCCTGGTTTGCCTGAGACTTTTCAAGTTTTAGCACCAAAAGTCTGGTGTATGTATGTCTGGAAACCAGGAAAACATTTGGGTAAACAAGGCATTTGATCATATTAGTGCTACAACTACTGTCTGCCTTGAAAATTAGAGCAGGTTTATAAATCGTGGAGCAATTAGAAAATGTTTTTCTTCCTTTTTATAGGTTTAGATGTATTGTCTTTGAAAATTATTTGTGTGGGTGTTACTATAGCGACCCTCTGAATATGTAGGAGAATAAAGAGGTCCATCTGTAAATTCACACTGTAGAAATCAAAAGGAAGTGGGTTTGGAAATTCAAAGCCCACTCTGGGATGTCTTTCTGGAAATCCTAGAGCATTATTTTAGACAGCATAACTCAGACTTTGGGAAATGTTTGGGCAAGGACCAGACAACCCTCATGGGGAGGTGGTAAAAATCCTTATAGTGGAGATCTGTAGAAGACTTTTATGGAGGGGGGTGAGATTGAGAAGTGAGTGAGGTGCGAGGTGGTCCATGAGACAGTAGAGGGGTGAGGAGGAAAATGCAACCTGGGGGAGCAGCAGCCGGGAGGATGTTCAGGGATCCCATACTCCTCCTTCCCCAATATATAAGAGGGTGGTCATCCTTAAGGGGGAGAAACTGACACAGGCTGGACAAGGTTCATCTTCCTCATGCAAACTTCAATTTGCTCTCCTGCTTTGTGTCTTGGGATTCCTCAGGTAGATTCCTTAAGGAGCTTCTTTCACACTGGCCCCAAAGCAGTCAATGAAGGAAACGTAGAATAAATGTTGAACAAAATGGTGAGAGTGGGCATTCTTGCTTTGTTCCAGATCTTAGAGAAAAAGATTTCGGTTTTTCACCATTGAGTATAATGTTAGCTGTCAGCTTTTCATATATAGCCTCTACTGTGTTGAGGTAAATTCTTTCTATACCTAATTCGTTGAGAGTTTTTATCATGAACTTTTTTTTTTTTGTCAAATGCATTTCTTTCCGTATCTATCAAGATACTTATGTGATTTTTATCCTTCAATCTCTTAATGTGGTGTATCACACTGGTTGATTTGCATATGTTGAACTATCATTGCATCCCGGGGATAAACACGACTTGGTCATGATGTATGATTCTTTTAATGTGCTGTTGAATTTGGTTTGCTAGTATTGTGGTGTTGAGGATTTTTTTTATCTATGTTTTTCAAGGATATTGACTTCTAGTTGTATTTTCTTGTACTGTCTTTGTCTGACTTTGGTACCAGCATAATGCTGGCCTAATAAAATGAGTTTGGAAGTGTTTTCTTCAATTTTTTGGAAGAGTTAAAGAAAGATTGGTGTTAATTCTTCTTTAAATGTTTGGTAGAATTCACCAGTGAAACTTGTCCTGGGCTTCTGTCAGTTGGGAAATTTTTTATTACTGATTGTATTCATCCATTTGTGTTGCTATAACAGAAATACCTGAGACTGGGTAATT